CCTATTCTCGCAAGGATCGTAAATCACAGTGAGGCCAGTTCCCGGAAACGAGTGGAACGCGACTAAATAAAGTTCACAGACGACCAAATGAACAAACCAATAGTGATGAATAAATGCAATTTTGTCATAAACACGTCAAACACAGTATAATCGGGGGAATAATCTGTGTGCGGAGGGTGAGTGGGATGAAATGGGAGACAGAACCGCAAATAAGTGAGCACGAATAAACAAACGAAAAGACGCGTACTGATTGGTGTACGACTCATGCGTGCACAGATATAAGCACATTCAAACAATTTTTGCGAAGAAATTAGAAGACAGTTTAGACAAAGGAATCGCATTGTGCAGTGCTTGCAAAGACATGAAAGGAAAAAAACCACAAAATTCCTGCAGTTTACGAGTCAGTCCGTTTGGACAGAAGGTGAATGAATCATTTCCCGGGGACGGGAACGGGGAATAGGCGATAACCAATTTCACAGACAGCACGATAATCATCTGCACTGAGGTCAGTGAAGAATGGGCTATCGCTAGGTAATCTAGTGTATTTACCCTATATATGTTGTATATATGACAAGTTGAAAAAGGGTCCTATACATATTGTGCTGCAGCTTAACCGGATACATAGTGCTTGGGAAAGTGGATGTCACTGAGATACATAAACTTCGTCGGGATGGGATATTTGATAACTCTGTGGACCTATGCGCTTCAGAGTGACGGTCAAGCGCTGCTCGAATGGTAGCAAATGTCGCTTAGACGATTTGACTCTTGCGGAAGGCGTGGACACAGCCCAGAACGCCGCTGGTTTCGTAGGACACGAGTTCGGTGTGGGTAACGGAAACAAGCGATGCTCCTGAGGAGAAAAAATGATTTTCTGATGATTCGGTGAGGTAGTCGGATCTTGGAGATGTAATCCGGGTGGAGTTGCTGGATGCAACACGGGAGGGGGTGGTGTGCTGGTAAGAAAATGATTGACAGTGGAGACAGGATGGGCAATGTCTGAAGGATAGTCCATGACGGGTGGGAGAGGTAAGGGTAAGGAATGCACGAGTCGGTTAGTATTTAATTTTGTCTCATGAGCAGTATGCCTTATGTAATCGTGATCCGAGTAAATATAGTCCAGTGGCTCCGTCGCGTACGAAGCAAACGAACAAGCGTGGCTAGCGCCGGCCGGATCGCCAGACAGATCTGAGTCATCCATTGGATCTGTCCGCAAAGGGGTAGTAGAACAGGACTGGTCCATATCAGAAACAAAAAATCGGTCTCCACAGGTCACAAGCTCTTCATCTAATTCAGGGGCTAAGATGGGGTAAATCTGCGGTGGTTCCGAGGCAATATCGGACGTGCTATCAGGTACTGCTTCCAACATATGCGACTCATGATAATCAGATGGATGAGGAGACAGATCCCCCGGTGTAGACAGTTCTGGACGAGAAGAACACAATGTGACAGAGTGGCTCTTAGCTTGAAACTGGCTTCTTTTTGTTGATCGGAGGGAATAACCAGTGAGTGCGTCATCTGTATCGCCAGAAAACGCTGGGATATTTGAAATCAGGCGACCCGAACGAGTAAGACTAGCGTTTGCCTGCTTGGAGCTAGATACGACATCTGTTAATCGCAAAGACCGAGTGGCTCTTATCTGAAATCGATCTTCCTCAATTGAGTCCGCAAATATTTCTGCCGATTGAGAGCTTTGTGAGTACCGTTGACGCCGACTAGGAACTGGCGGGAGCAGATTCGCCTCGGCAATTAGGCGGGCGTCATAATTCGTCAAACGTTTCACAGGACGCTTTGTTGGTGTTGAATTATTACTGTTAGTGAATGATAGCTCCATCGCACGCGTTTCGTTGAGTAGACGGCCCAATATTGGTTCCACTGTGCAAGCGGGAGACGTACTTGAAGTATCCCCTAAAACATAAAAAGACGAAAACGACCATTTATGGAAGTGAGTAGATAATTTTTCTCGTCATCTAATATTCAACACAAAATCGAAAGGTAAAGGTATGCAAATCTATCAGAGGTGTCATACAAAATACAAAGCCTCTGGAATGTAGAAAGCAATTTTATCTAAATATCCTACAAAGTGCACATTATTCAAATTCAATAAAACTCAAACCCCGGAATGAGCGTTTGCAAATCTAAAAATGCTACTCACTTAGCTATTCGGACTGGTCCTGGACAGCTCATTCTGCATCGACGCATGGGATAAGGTGCTTATTCGTACCGGAACACATCAAGAAAAGTTCTACTCCTTATTCTATATTTGAAATTCACGTACGTCTGAATCCAGACTGTGCCGAACAAATCATAGTACAATAATCTTCAAAAAAAGAGAAAAGTCCACAAGTTGTTTGTGTGGGAATACTGCCACGCTGATCAGACCCAAGCGAGTGAATTTTCTTGGGGAATTCATAACCGGAGCTTTTGACCAGGCAAAGCCTGATCCACAAGGTAGCGGGGCGGTGTGAAAACCGTAATCCATTAGGGGCCCATGTCTAGTTCATCGGATCATACGCACATCGGACAGGGCCAAACGCCCAAGCTGCTCAATGCACCTCGATGCCCATTTGAGCCGGTGAACACTGCCACAGCCAAAGTGTGGGTGGGTGTGGTTCTTACTCCTCTTCTTCATAGGTTTGAAATCAGGGTTTTTAACCAACTCTCATAGGTGAACTGCCAGTGGTCCACCGACCCGGTTATAGCCCCGGAGGTTGGCTTTTCGTCCTCTCACTTTGGTGGGAAAACACTGCCACAGGAAGGCAGTAAATAGAGATCCCTCAGCTGAGGCTATTTGATAAGCTTGATCGTATAGGAGCACTTCGCGAGGTGTAAGGGAAAAGTGACCAGCCACAATCCGAGATAACCACCCCGATCACATCGAGGCTTCCAGAGGCGTCCGAATCCCGGGCACACAACTTCTCAGCAAGTTCATATTCTGGTTTGTTGCAGTATACAGTACGACCCATATATAATAGTGGGAATTCGAGATTGGGTATCCTCATTTGTATATAATGTCCCGTTGTTCGTTTTTATTATCGATAACACGAAGCCCGTACCCGGGCCGAGAGGATAAGTTGGCTTAGTGGACAAGAACGTCAAGATTCCGGCAAAATACTGCAGTGGCATCTCCATTTCTAGTAGATTTTCTTTGGAGAATGTTTCAGTTTCAGTTTGAACAACCATTAACCATGTACTATAGTGCGCCGGTTTTGGTTGCTGTCTTTTGGCTGCCCATTGGGATGAAGAATAGGCGAAGAATCAAAAAGAGAATGGAGAAGTTCAGTGGTTTAAGGTTGCAAAGAAATTGAGATGCACGAACGCCAGTTTACGACACTCAGCCATATCGCTCAGTGTCTCTAACCACCGGTTACCATCATTCCGAAGTCCCCAGCCAGGGAGCCTAACAGGACCTATGTGACCCAGTTTCCTGGTTAGGGTGAGGTCCCCAGCCAGGGAGCCTAACGGGGCCTATGTGACCTAGTCTCCTGGTTAGGGTTTTTGGAGAATGTATCGCTAACCTTTGAAAAACCGAGGTTTTTTATTACACACAGTGAATTAAAATATAGTAAATCCTCAAACAAAAAACCGATTGTAAAAAGGAAAGTAAGTGAGCATTTACGTAAGTGAAGTTAAATCAAGTCAGGCACCCTAAAGGGTGAATTTTCAGCGATTTCCCCGAGGAAGCAGTAGAAGTGGGAAAAGATTATGGAGCGAGTAAACAAAAAAACGACAGCGTAGGGAAGAAGACGATAGTAAAAGTTTCAAATACAAATAAACTAACTCACGAGATGTTCCCCCATACGCGTAATAATTGGTGCGCGATTCATTAAACAGCAGGCAATATAAGGTAGGATGCTGGTTCGGTGTGGCCG